TTGGAGTACACTGTGTAAGAAACATTCTGATTTAGAGCAATACCTGAAAGGCATTTTGGCTACCTATCTAGTGTGAATTCAGTAATACTTTAAAATTCATAATCAATTACATACTTGGAGAAGTTTTTACAATTTATTTTTTAATATATTTTGATTTTTTTACGGAGAGGAAGGGAGATGGATAGTTAAAAACATCGATGAGAGAGAAACATTGATGAGCTGCATCCTGCACACTCTCTACTGCTGATGTTTCCGAAAACACGGTACATGCCCTTGACCGGAATCGAACCTGGGACCCTTCAGTCCGCAGGCAGACGCTCTATCCACTGAGCCAAACCGGTTAGGGCAAGTTTTTACTTTTTTTTTTATAATATATTTTATTGATTTCTTACAGAGAGGAAGGGAGAAGGATAGAGAGTTAGAAACATCGATGAGAGAGAAACATCAATCACCTCCTGCACACTCTCTACTGCGGATGTGTCCACAACCAAGGTACATGCCCTTGACCGGAATCGAACCTGGGACCCTTCAGTCCGCAGGCCGACGCTCTATCCACTGAGCCAAACCGGTCAGGGCAAGTTTTTACATTTTAGAGTCATCTAAAAGTATAAATTCCTTGGAGATTTGTAAACTGTGTATTTTGAACAAAAGTCCTCCCTCCTATATCATAAATGTAGAATTTCTACCCAATTACAATCCCTAATATTGACTGAAGCTGTAGGTCCAACTATATGATTACCCACATACTTCAGATTTAAGGTTTCCCTCTAGAATGAATTCAAATGTGAGGAATAAACTACGGATGCTGATTAAACATTTAGGACATTGTTTACATTTGTATTGACTCTCTCCAGTATGAATTCTGATGTTGGGTAAGGTTTGCACGCTGAGTAAGGTTTGTCACATTCTTTGTAACTGTTGGGCTTGTATCCAGTAATAATTATCAGACGTTGTATGACATATAAATGAAGATACACGCTTTGACATATGGCTCATAATTTGTAAAACCTTATTTTATGATTCTCAATGATAAATCATGGCTGAATCTTTGAATGAAAACTTTATATTATTGCTCTTTCTCTTTAGAATGATTCCTAAAATGTTGAGTAGGGTAGACCTCAGATTAAAGGCTTTATCACACTTTTTACAGTGTAAGGCTTTCCTTCAATATAATCATCTGTTATTCAGTAAATTTTCTTTTTTTTTTTTAATAATAAAAAAAAAAAGTACTGCCTATACCCCAGATTTAAAAGAACCTAAGATTGGACATCAACTCTAATATTTGGCTGTACTTG